ATTATTATTATTATTATTATTATTATTATTATTATTATTATTATTATTATTATTATTTCAGAAAGGAATATGCCTTTATCACCATCCGGGAGCTACTGGCTAAATTTATATCATTCTTGTAAAACTTTGCCATTGTGATTATTATGATGGAAGGATGCATACTTTATGGTAGTCTCATGAGAAGAGTGCACCAAGCAGAGATGAAAGGGGGTGAGGAAATAGCTGAGATGGGCTGATGGATAGAAAGAAGAAAATAAGAGTGTGATTACAATGGTGGTGGGTGTCAGGAAGCTGAGAACAGTTTGCCTCTAGGTATGGCTTTACCAAAACCATGCGCCAACCTCCCTCTCCCACCCCTTTGCCCAAGCCACAAAACTTACACAGGTTGCTGTAAGGGGTTTGTGGTGAGACAGGGAAGGCAGGGGTTGGGGGAGAAGTCTCACCACCACTGGAAGGTGGGCTGCTTGGAGAGGTCCCCTGTATTTCCTCAAAGGCTTCTTTGTAACTATGGAGATGGGGCTGCAAAAGAGAGGAAGGTATAATAAGTTACCAGAATGGAATAATCTACCCTCCTATCCATTCATGCCAACTCTTAGCAAATTAGACAGCAGGAATTTACTTTTTTTTCTATGTACTTCCCCTCTCCTTTGCTCCAGTTCTTTCCTCTTTCATATTTTCACCTCTTTCTCATTCCTAACATCAAAGATCTTTCCGTTATTACCTTTTCTTCAACTGGTAGCAAGGCGGGGGGGGGGCAGAGGAGACGGGTTTCAGCAGGTATTCTGCTATTTATTTTTGCTGGGAGGAGGAATAAATTCCCAATAAATTCCTAAGCTGAAGGAAGAACCACCCATAGGAATGGCCAAATCAATTTTATGCAATCTCTCAATTTTACAGATTTCAAAGCAAGTGTGTGAAAATTTACACATGTTCTCCTCTGTATTTCTTCTAAAGTATACATTTTTCCATGTATGGTATATTGTTGCCTTTCAAAGCTGGATTCTCTAATATAATGTTGGTTTTGTGCCCATTATTCCCAATACATTTGTGCATTCTTTTATCTAAAATGCAACTCTTACTTTTTTCTGTTTGAGTGGCAAGCTGCTTCATAATGTTCTGAAAAAATGAGAATTTCAGGGCATAAGAGTGTACTAGACAGGGTGTAGGTTTGTATCTAAATTCAAAATCAATTTCTTTTTCATTTCTACCTCCACCCAATATTTGAGGAGGGCCTCCTATGCCTGTCTTCTTTGCTTACTCCATTCTACTGCCAAACAAAATTTCCCTTTAATAGCTGGGACTACTCTATCTTCCACCAAGTATCTTTATTGCCATGCAAGGAGCTAAAAAGAAAATCATCTTTTAAAAAGTACCTCCTTGGGTCTTCCTCCAGGATTGGCAGCAATAGTGCTGACCACCTCTGGTGAGACACAGTGAATTGGTGATCGAACCGTCGGGCTTCGTGGTGAACTGGGTTCCTGGGGACTGTTCTCATATTGACCTTCACTGGTGGTACGTCTCCGGACAAAGGCTTCAACTTCATCTGGTGACTTCTCCTGTGGTGGCTGCACTCCTGAAAATTCAATTACGTGAGGAAGAAGGATGCTAAGTATGGGATGAGCTTAAATGCAAATGGAAGATCTCTGAAGCTTGGCATTCAGCTCTTTAGGCTGCATCTTGGCATAGGAAAGAAAGAGGTTGTGAGATCTAATAATTTATTAATAAATACACAAATTATTCTTCAACCGCAGATTATTGTGACAATCAGAATGCCACTGATTTAGTTCATATTTTAAAATCTTTTGGTACATAAACTCTTTCACAGTGAAGACATGTAGCCTCTGAGTGGCATGCCAGGGAATACCCTCCCCAAGGCAAGTGGGCTCACTTTTATTCAGAATTATAATCACCCAATAAACACTCCTGAAAAAAGCAGTTCACTAAGTACTGAAAAGATTAGGGAGACCCTAGGATACTGTTCTTGCAGCATTTTAAGATCTAAATAGAGTTAAAAGAACAGTTTCTTCTCACAGTTGTTTGCTAAGTTGGGGAGAAAGACAAGAGCTTTTTAAGAAATTGGGAGGCCTCTAACTGATCAAACTATGTCCACAGCAACCCCCCAAGGTGCAACAAAAACCTAGAGAACAGACTAACAATGGCTTAGTGAAGCCCAGATTCATCTGTTTGAGATGAGTCCACTCCACATTGGGCCCAAGGAACTTCTTTACTGCTAATATAAGTTTAGTTCTTCAAAATATTCAAGAATAACTTCTGTTTCTCCTGACAACAAAAAGAATGTCTGATGCATAGCAATGAGGTCCTGAAAGCCAGTTGGAGTACTGGATTTTGTTAACATAGAAAGGTGGCTGCAGAAGCAACACATGCAACCACTCAAATATGTCCTACTGCTGCACAATAAACTGTGCAGTGAAGGAACACTTTTGATGGAGAACAAAAGGGTCAGTTATGAAGCCAAGTTATGTTTGTTGCAATATTTGGAACGTTTTACAAAAATTTTTTACAGGGGGGAGATTCTTCTCACCCTCTTTTTTACATTTGCAGACATACACTTTGGAGAAACTACATTCACGTTTGTTCAGCCCCAGCCAAGGAAAAGAGCCAGGCACCGCACCTGGATCTCATCCCAGCTTAGCTATTTCTTCTTGTTTATAAAAACAGTAGTGGATGTCCCTCTCATGCAGCCTATCTCTCAAATATATTTAGATTTGTATTTGTTTTGCTCTTAAGGCAGCCAAGAAGGTAAAGCATTGGGAGAGATCCTTAAAATGTTTTTCAAACAAATTCAGGGAACTTTCAATCTGCATTTGGACCCTTGGCAGATCTGGTTTTTTCCTTAACTCATAACAGCCATACCACCTTCTCAAGATGGAGAGAGGAGTGGGGAAAAGTGGAAAAGCCAGATTCTGGGCAATCCCAATATAGAATTAAGCAGCAAAAAAAATTAAATAGCCAAAATGCATCAGCCAGAATAAAGGGGAAAAATCTATCCGCTTAGAGACAAAGAGAGCTCAAACAGTGCCACATGTAACAATCATTAAGTAAGGCAACAGCAGAGTTTTTTCTTACAAACAAGACAGATCATTTTCTAGACCTGCCAGGCTCCAAAACTTTCAAACATCCCTCAGAGACATTTTCCTTTAAAGCCTTACCTTCAATGGCCAAGTTTAAACATAGTCACATTTCAGTGAACTAATAAATGCAAAACACACACTGTTTTCCCTCCTTTCCTCCTCATTGCTGGAGCAGCACATAATCAGAATACAATTATACAGCTGCAAGAGATCCAGTAAAGACTGGATTTAGATCTCTTTCCAGCTATCTTTGAACTATGCCATCTTCCTTGGATTACATTTTGCAGATGAATGTAATTCACCTTTAGAAATAATGCCTCTTTGAGCTGCAATTCATATATAAACTATAAAAAAGTTGTACAGATGGAAGCTGATTTCCTTAGTTATCACAAGCTCATGCACACACACCAATTCCCCACCATATCATACATATTTGCAGTCTGCTTGGCAAAAAAACTGAAGGTCAACCTTATCCCTTTGTAACTTATGATTTATCCTGAATCAAATGAGCACTGTATCAATGCAAGAAACTAGTGGTTAGGCCCACGAGTTTCTGAGAGAAGGCACAAGCATGTTCTTGAGGAAGAGAAGGGAGATTATGATACAGAAAGAATAAAAGAAAGCAAAGGACTACAGTTTCAGTGGAGGGAAATTTATATGGAAGCAGCAAGGCCTGAGCAAGAGATAATGCCCATTAGAACAAGAGAAATAATCAGAATGAAACTGCTCATGTGTGAAGGAAAACCCAGAAGTGATCCAGTGTTCTCCGAAGCAATGCATTCCTCTTCTCTCCCACCTCAAGAAAATGGTCATTGCTGGGCCTGTGGTCTTGCTGCTGCAGGCATATTTCAAATAACTCTTGCACCAAACTCAATCCTCTCCTCATGCTCCAACTTCATCCCCCCCCCACCCTTATGTGCTTTGTTTCCTCCTTCCTTTAAAGCATGTAGGCAGTG